GCGGACTTGATGTGCACGCGCACAGACTTACGCACACAATCTTTATGTAAACGCGCGATGAGAATGGATATTTGTCTACTCAGTAGTAAAAGGCAGTGCCCGTCAGACACCACTGTCTCTAAGCTCACACACATAAATAAAATACTCTCTATCACGCAAAAACTGATTTTTCATTTATTATTCCCCGATTCCTCACAAATTCTATATTTTTTTATTTAATCATCTCATACGCTAACGCGATTAATTTATATTTACGAAAAACAAAATTATGTATTATTTATTATAATATATATTTACAGTTACAATATAATGTCACTGAATTCGATGATAAAATATTCGTAATCGTATGATAACACGATTACGAATATTTTATCGTCGAATTTATTGTATATTTTCTTACTTTGAAAATGTAAATTTTCAACTATTTCTATAGTTTACAGATTCTATGTCAATTTTTACTATTTTCGCACTAAATTTTACTATATTTCCGTAGAAAATTTTAATAAAAAAGAAAATATCCAAAATAACTTCTGACATTGATAAAAAATTCTTTATCAGAATTCAATTTTCAGAAACATTCAATTATTCAATTGATTATTCATTTTTGTACTTAATTGATTGTTAAATAAAGAAATAAAATTCTAAATGAATAATTGAATACTCGTAGAATTTTGTAATAAAGATTCATTAAACAATGAATTTCAGTTAAAATTTTAGATAATAATTAAATATTTAAAGCAATTTGAATAAAATTCTTTGCAAACTTTTAATTATTTTCAATAATTTTTATCAAATATGTATGATTTTTAATATCTACAATTTAAATAAAATTGTCCAAAAGAATTCAATTATTTAAAAAAAAATTTTAATAAAATTCTACAAAAACATTTAATTGTTTTCATAAATAATAAAAATTACACAGGAATTCAATTATTTACAATTTTTTTTATAAATTTTCTCATAATACAATTACGAAGTTGAAGTCCACAACGTTTATCAAAGAAAAAAAATTATTTAATGCATTCAAGTATTATTTTTAATTTAATTTTTAATTGTAAAATAATTATTATCAAAATATAAATATCAATTTTTTTTTCTAAATATTTTTGTGTCAATACTTATGCGTCATTTTTAATTAATTTACTAAGTGAACAATTTTTTTTCGTTGATCAACGTTGTGGACTTCAACTTGGTATACAATTCAATTATTTCCATAAACTTTTACAATTTTTTTTACAGAGATTCAATTATTTTCGTAAGTGATAAAATTCATTTTAGGAATTTTATTTAATTTTTAGAAATAATTGAATTTTGAAAACTGTTCTAATGAAAATCTTTGAATATTTGAAATTTTTATAGTTTTAACTAAAAATTCTGTAGAATTAATTTTTTTTAGAATAGTTTAATCGAATTTTTTTTAATTATTTCAAATTTTTATTTTCTTATATGTATATTTAATTAAATAATTTCAGGGAAAAACAAAATTAAAGTTTTGTACCACCCGTTGAAAAATTTACTAATTAAAAAGCAAAAAGTGTGTCACTAATTGAAGTTAGTAAACATTTTCACCAATTAAAAATATGAAAGTAAATTTTATTAGTTATTTAAAATTTAATCGCACTCGATTAGTTAATAGATCAATTAATTTAGTTGAATAAGCACACTTGTAATAGCTACAGGTGTGCAAACAATAACAATATTTAGTAATAAGTTTTTCGATAGAAATAAAAACATTTTTTAATATCGATAAAGACGCAAACAGAATATTAATAACGAATCCTCGTTCCAATTATTCATTTACTTATTTCACAATAATTTATATTATTATTCTTGAATTTTAATTCCTCTTTCATTGTCATGAATTGAATTTTTATTATTTAGAATTTTAATTTTCATAATTGGATGAAATATGAACTGTTTAACATACAATTTTAATATTTCGTATACTAATATGTACATCTTTTTATTAATTCAGCACGTTTTTTTTTAGAATTTTTATTCCCACATTAAAGTAGCTTTTCCATTTAAATATATATAATTCGAAAATGCTAGAAACGTTTTCTTATTCTGTAAATTTTTAATTTTAAAAGTGCTTTCTTGATATTGAAAAATAAATTCAACGGTTAAATGCGCGGAAAATGAATTAAAAATTAAAAATTTACATCTCGAGTTGGATTAAAAGTTGATGACTGTTAGCTAAGTTTTAAAATTTAGATTGAATAATAAAAAACGAAGGGAAACAAATCCAATAACTTTAATATATATTTTTTTTATGGTAAAATGTAAACTTTCTGAAATTTTTGCATATTTTTTTTTTTTTTTTGTTTAAACTTTATATTTACTTCCGGAGTTTAAATAATTGAATTTTTTTGACGAATTCTAATAAAATTTTTAAGAATAATTACAATTTTTCGAGGAATTCGATTAAAATTATATTGAAAATAATTGAAATTCTGCAATGAGTTTTATTATTTATGAAAATAATTTAATTCATATAAAGAATTATATCAACAAATTTTTAAATAAATAAATTCTTTCGATGAATTTTGATAAAATTTTTAAGAATAATTAAATTTTTCGAGGAATTCGATTAAAATTGTATTGAAAATATTTGAAATTTTGCAAAGAGTTATACTATTTATGAAAATAATTGAATTCCTAAAATGAATTTTATCACTTACGAAAATAATTGAATCTCTGTAAAAAAAATTGTAAAAGTTTATGAAAATAATTGAGTTATTATATGAAAAAATTTATAAAAAAAATTTGTAAATAATTGAATTCCTGTGATATTTTTATTATTTATGAAAATAATTGAAATTCTGTTATGAGTTTTATTATTTATGACGAAAATAATTGTATTCCGAAAAACAATTTTATTTTTCATGAAAATAATTGAATTCTTGCGAACGATTTTATTAGAATTTTTTAAAATAATTGAATTTCCAAGAAGAAATTTATTACTTTTTAAAAATAATTGAATTCTTGTGATGAATATTGTTATTTATGAAAATAATTGAATTTTGCAAAGAATTTTATTAGAATTTTTTAAAATAATTGAATTTTCGGGAAAAATTTTATTAAAATCTAAAAGAATAATTGAATTATTTCAAAAAAATTCAATTAAAATTGTATTTAAAATAACTGATTTCTTTCGAACAATTTTATTAAAATATTTGAAAATAATTGAATTTCTGTGAAAAATTTTAATATTTTTGTAAATAATTGAATTATTCCAAAAAATTAAAAAAAATATTTTTTTAAATAATTGATTTTTTCGAGGAATTGAAATTTAATTTTTAAGAATAATTACATTTTTTGAGCAATTCAATTAAAATTGTATAGAAAATAATTGAAATTCTTCGATGAGTTTTATCGCATTTATGAAAATAATTGAATTCCTAAAATTAATTTTATTTTTTTCGAAAATAATTGAATCTTTGTAAAACAAAATTTATTATTTTTATGGAAATAATGGAATTATTACGAAGAAATTTATATCAAAAATTTGTAAATAATTGAATTCTTGTGACATTTTTATTATTTACAAAAATAACTGAATATTTGCGTCGAATATTATCAAAAACTTTTTTAAATAATTGAACCCTTTTGGAAAATTTTTGAAAATAATTGAAATTTTGACAAAAATTTATTAAAATTTTTTAAAATAATTTAATTTTACAGAAGAATTTTATTATTTATAAAGATAATTGAAATTTTGACCACAATTTTTAAAAATTTTTGAACCTACAATTGAGTTTCAGCGAAGAATTTTATTACTTTTGAAAATAATTGAATTTCTGCAATAATTTCTCCAAAACTAAATTTTTTTTTCTGTTTTTAACTAAAATTCTTCTAAAAATACATTATTTTTAAATATTAATTAAATCAGTCACTAATTCAAATTAGTAAAAATGTTTACTAATTCAAATTTAGAGAGCAGTTTTTACAAACTAATAAAAAAATTGAATTTCTATCAAAATTTAACTTTTCATGTGAAAAATTGTTTCAATTTTCGAATAAAAAACTGACTCTAGATACAAATTGATAACATAGACAAAAGTCAAGTAAGTTAAATAAATGAAAAAAAAAGTTACGCCTCAGTTTATGTCTGGATGGAAAAACTTTTATACACCAATCTTCCGCCATTGTTATAAAAGTTTTAATATAAAGAAAGCTCCCCAGAAAGAATTGAAACTTGCACTCGAGAAAATAAAGGAAAAAAAAAATTTAATTACTGCGCACCTCGCAACTGATCTTAAGGTGAAAGATCAACTTTCTTATAAGCCACACTCTGATATTGTATAAATATATGTATGTACATTGAAGATTAGACATTATGATTCAAAATGTGTTACGTAAAACGTGTGATCTAAATTTATACATATAAATTTTACAAGTCAAGAACCTTTTTAATATATATAAGCCTTTCTAATCATTATATACAAAGTGTATACATATTATGATAGTCTCTCTATACTTTTCTCACCCAACATCTCTCCTGTTTTCAATTTATTTATTATCTTTTTACTCCATCTTGAATAAATATACATTCTAGTTATCACGAATTAGGTCGTTGTGCAATTTTTTTTAAAAAAATATTATAATAATGAAAATATTAGGAAAAGTTGCGATAAGTTTCTCACAAAAAAAAAGAAGTGTTACGTTTTTCTACTGAAAACAATTATTTAATACAGAAATTACGAATAATTATTTCTCAATGTTTTTATATTTTTTAAAATGATTTTGTAAAAAAAATTTTTTATTGAATAATTTTTAATATAAAAAATATAAAAAATAAATAAAAATATATAAATAATATTTAATAAAAGAAAAAATATTTTCGTTAGTTTTAATGAAAATTTCAACGGAGGTAAAAAAATCGAATCTTTAGTTGGGAAAATATTTTCTATACTGAAAATAATAACAGTTTAAAGATAAGAAAAGCCGGATGTAAAATATTTAAACAAAGGTTAAAAAATAAAAAGTGATTAGCATACCTGTATGTGTCTGATTGCAGCGTGTAGAATGGAAAGGTTCGATGACTTTTTTTCATCTTGTGAAGGAAGTTGTTTCTTTAGCATCTCAAAACATTCTTTAAGATGTGCCCTTCTATTCTTCTCCAATTTGTTGTGTACTTCTCTTGTGCCTGAACGAATCACGCATGGTCTGCGAAACAGAAAATTCTCATGTAAAATTCAATTTTCAAATGCAAAGTTTTTACAGATATCCCTGAAGTTAGTGTCGATATGCTGAGCGTGAAACAATGTTTTTCTCAAAATCGAAAAAAATTTGTTTAGTTTCAAAAAGTGTTTTATTTTTCTTTTTCAAAATTAAAGAAAAGAAGAAAAATTAGTGACTTTTTTTTAATCTCTAAAACACTAAATAATAATTTTCATCGCTAAGCGTCGACACTAAAATATCAAGGAAATAATTTTTTTTAAAATACTCTCTAATTGAATTTTCTCTATTTAATTTTTAAACGAACAGGGTTGACACAAAAAATTAATTTTTCCCCTAATTTCCAGACAAACTTTTGCCTTTTTCCCTGACACTAAAGAATATTCTGATTCACTCTAAAAAATTATTACACATACTTAAAAAAAATATTCAATTACATTAATTTACGAATTATTCAGGTTTTGAACCAGTGAATGTTTTATAATAATTGAAGATGGCTCGTGATAAAATCTTTATTTTTTATTATAAGAATATTGTACTGCTTCAAAATTATTTTTATCATTTCAATTAAATTATTACTTTCAAGAATTTTTAACTAAAATTCTTCCTTCATCAATTATTTTTAATAATTTTCGAAAAAAATTTGAATTATTCGTAAATTTTTAAATTAAATATATATTAGAAAATAAATATAAATACTTTAAATAATTTTTCAAAAAAAAATCCACAATTAAACTTTTTCAAAAAAATTAATTTCAAAATTCAATTATTTCTTAAAATTCACGCTATATTGCTTTTAATATTCAATTGTTATCTAAAATTTTAATTGAAATTCATTTTGTCGAAGAATTTTGCTATTCATTTATAAAGATAATTAAAATTTTGACGAGAATTTTTTTTAAATTTAATAACATATAATTGAATTTCTGCTAAGAATTTTATTACTTTTGAAAATAATTGAATTTCTAGCCCTGATTATTCGAAAATATCAATAACTTCAATTTTAAATAAATATTTAATCATCATTATTATTTTTCCATGAGAATTAAGATTTTCTAGAATTTTTAACTAATTCTTCAATAAATTAATTAAATTGAATAAATTTTAAAAAAATTCCTTAAGAATTTTCCAATTCTTTTTTTTACAATTCAATTTTACGAAATTTCATCGATTATTCGGAAATTCTTCAATTGTATATTAGAAAATAAAAACTTCAAATAATTTCAAAAAAATACAAATAAACTTTTTTTAAAAAAAATAATTCTACAGAATTGGTAGTTAAAAGTATGAAAAATTCAAATTTTCAAAAGATTTTTATAAAAAAAATCAATAATAAAAAAATTGTAATAAAAACCTTTTAAAAATTCAATTATTTCTAAAAATTCATTTAATAATGCTTTTTTAATATTCAATTATTATCTAAAACTTTAGCGAAAATTAATTTTTAAATTAATTTTTATAAAAAAATTCTACGATAATTCAAATATTTAAGTACAAAAAAAATAAAACTTAGTAAATAATTAAATGTTTTTTAACATTGAATTCTCACAAAGAATTTTATCAATACATTTTTAATTAATTGAATTATTTTGTGGAATTTTAATAACATTTGTAAAAAATAATCACATTTTTCGAAATTTTCGATTAAAATTGTATTGAAAATAATTGAAATCCAGCAATGAGTTTAATTATTTATGAGAATAATTGAATTTTTGTTTAGAATTTTATTAAAAATTTTTAAATACTTGTATTATTTTGGAAAATTTTAATAAAGTAGTAGATATTTTGAAAATTATTGAATTAAAGAAAATTTTTGAAAGTAATTGAAATTTTGCCAAGAATATTATTAAAATTTTTTAAAATAATTGAATTTTGGAGAAAAAATTGATTATTTATAAAGATAATTGAAATTTTGCCGAGAATTTTTAAACATTTTTGGAACGTAATTGAATTTCTACGCAGAATTTTATTACTTTTGTAAATAATTGAATTTCTGCGAAAAAATTTATTAAAAAATTAGTAAATAATTGAATTCTAGTGAAATTTTTTATTATTTATGAAAATAATTAATTGTTTGCGTAGATTTTTTTCAAATTATTGAATTCTTTTGGAAAACTTTATTAAAATAGTAAATATTGAAAATCGTTGAATAGAGGAAAATTTTTGAGAATAATTTAAAGTTTACCAAGAATTTTATTAAAATCTTTAAAAAATAATTGACAGAATTTAAAAAAAATTTGGAACATATAATTGAATTTCGAAGAAAAATTTTATTATTTGTAAAGATAATTGAAATTTTGACGAAATTTTTTTTTTAAATTTTGAAAATAATTGAATGTCTGAGAGTAAATTTATAAAAAATATGTAAATATTTGAATTATTGTGAAATGTTTATTATTTATGAAAATAATTAAATGTTTGCGTAAAATTATATTAAATCTTTTTTAAATTATTGAAATCTTTTGGAAAAGTAGTAAAAATTAAATTATTAAAAATCATTAAATTAAGTACTTATTAAAAATAAATTATTGTCATAAATATAAAAAATTGAAAGGTTTTTTTAAAAAATTTTTTATTTAATAAATAAACTCTAATCGTCTTTTGAAGGAGAAAAGGGTTTCTTTTTTTTCTATCCCTAATGCCCCAAAGATGTAATGCAAATGGAACATTGAACTTGCCAAAAAATCTTTATTTAATATGAAACTCGAAACTTCCAAGTAAGGACATTTGACTATCGGAAAGTTTAAATTGTGGTTTGTCTGTATCTTGAAACTTACATCGTTACAAAACTTTTATGAAACGCAATGTATGCAAATGCTTTAAGAAACTAAAGAACTCGCGGTAGGGTACTTTGCTATGAAAACGTTCGAACGATAAAGAAAAGAAAAAAAAAGTTTAGAATCCATTCGAAAGTAAGTGTGCTATTTTAGCCCATTTCCTCTTTCAAGAATTTATATCTCTATAGTAATTTCGCACTGTGCAAATAATACAGCTACAATATGTCTTCAATTTTAGATAAAATTCTCAACTTTTTCTAAAAAGAAAATTAATGCAAAAAAAACAAAAAGTAAAATGTTTAGTTTCAATTTCTATATAGTGAATCAAAAATTATAAAATTTAATTAAATTGTTTAAAATTGTCAATTTTACGAATTTCAATTATTCATAAATTCTTCAATTATATATTATATGTATTAGAAAATAAAAACTTGAAATAATATCTATAAAAAAAATTCAATTAAACTTTTTCAAAAATATTTATTTCAAAATTTAATTATTTCTAAAAATTCACGCTATATTGCTTTTAATATTCAATTATTATCTAAAATTTTAACTGCAATAATTCCTTTTTAAATCAATTTTTATTCGAAAATCTACTAGAATCCAATTATTTAAATACAAAAATAAATCATTTATTGAATAATTCAATGTTTCTTAAAATTCAATTCTCATAAAGAATTTTATCAACAAAATTTTTGAACAATTAAATTCTTTCTACGATTTTTAATAAAATTTTTTAGAATAATTGTTTTGAAAATAATTAAAATTCTGCGAAGGATTTTATTACTCTTGAAAACAATTGAATTTCAGCAATAATTTGTAACTTTTCCAAAATTCAATTTTTTAAATGTTTCAAACTAAAATTTTTCTTTATGTAAATCCATTATTTTTAATAATTTTTGAAAAAGTTATTTGAGAATTTTTAAATTCATTTGTTTTTAAGTGCAATTCATTTTTAAATCAATTTTTAGTAGAAAATTCCACGACAATTCAATTATTTAATACAAAAAAAATAATTTATTGAATATTTTAATGTTTCTTAAAATTGAATTCTCGTAAAGAATTTTATCAATAAATTTTTAAATAATTGAATTCTTTTGACGAATTTTAATCAAATTTTTAAGAATAATTACATTATTCGAGGAATTCGATTAGAACTTTATTAAAAATAATTGAAATTTTGTAATGAGTTTTATTCTTTATGAAAATAATTGAATTTGTAAAATGAATTTTATCACTTACGAAAATAATTGAATCCCTGTAAAAATTTTATTATTTATGAAAATAATTCAATTATTGCGAAAAATTTTATTAAAATGTTTAAAAAGAATTGAATTTCTGTGAAAAATTTCATTATTTTTATAAACTATTGAATTCTTCATAAGAATTTTATAAACATTGTTTTAAATACCTAATTGATTTTTTCGAAATATAATAAATGTTATGAAAATTTTATTTTAAATAATTGAATTCTTGTGGAAAACTTTATTTGTGAAAAAAATTGAATTTTTCGATCAATTAATTTAAAATAGTATTAAAAATAATTGAAATTATTCAATGAATTTCATTATTTTTGTAAATAATTGAATTCTTGGGAAGAATTTTAATAAAATCTAAAAGAATAATTGAAGTATTTCAAAAAAATTTGATAAAAATCGTATTTAAAATAATTGATTTGTTTCGAACAATTTTTTAAAAATATTTGTAAATAATTGAATTCCTGTTGAAAAATTCTAATATTTTTGTAAATAATTCAATTCTTCTAAAGAATTTTAAAGAAACATTTTTTTAAATAATTGATTTTTTCGAGGAATTTAAATTATATTTTTAAGAATAATTACATTTTTTCCGCAATTTCTGTAAAATTGTACTAAAAATAATTGAAATCCTGCGATGAATTTTATTATTTATGAAAATAATTTAATTATTGCAAAAAATTTTATTAAAATGTTTAAAAACATTTAAAATTTTTTGAAAAATTTTGTTATTTTTAAAAATAATTGATTTTTTATGATGAATATTGATATTTATGAAAATAATTGAATTTTGCAAAGAATTTTCTAAAAATTTTCAAAAATAATTAAATTCCTGAGAAGAATTTTATTAAAATGTTTAAAAAGATTTGAAATTCTATGAAAAATTTTGTTATTCTTAAAAATAATTGATTTCTTATGATGAATATTGTTACTTCTGAAAATAATTGAATTTTGCAAAGAATTTTTTTAAAATTTTCAAAAATAATTAAATTCCTGAGAAGAATTTTATTATTTATGAAAATAATTGAAAATAGTTGCTGAAAATTTTATTAAAATTTTGAAAAATAATTGAATTCTTGAGAAGAGGTTTGTAACTTACATGAAAATAATTGAATTGTTGCGTAGAATTTTATTAAAACTTTCTTTAAATAATTGAATTCTTTTGGAAAATTTTATTAAAATAGTAGATATAAAAAATTATTAAATTGAGGAAAATTTTAATTATATTCAAAACTTTTAATAAAATTTTGAAAATAAATGAATTTCTGTGTAAAATCTTATTACTTTGAAAAATAATTGAATTTCTGCAATGATTTGTAATTTTTTTAAAAGCAAATTTGCGGACCTTTACGGAATTTACTGACTTAAATTCGAGCCCTGCGCTATTTCAGAGAATTTTTTTTTTTTTTGCTTCATTTGATTTTAAGAAAAGAATGGTTTGAACTTATAAGAGAAGAAAAAATGTTGCCACTTACCCATTTCGACTTTTCTTACTGTCGTGGCTCGTCTCAATGTCGACATAAAGAGAACTCTGTTGATGTGTATGATTTGAATTGTGATTGTCCATGTGATTGGACATACTGTCATGATTATTCTGTTGATGATGGTGATGAGACTGATGATGTGAGGAGTGCAAGGCAGTTAAGTGGCCGGAATTAGCCGAGGGTGGTGTCACACGGGAATTTGAGATCACAGGACTTCCACGTAAACCCGTCGAATGATTTCCATTGGTTCTGCCGTTTTCCAGCGGCTCTTCCTCTGCAAAAAAAAAAAAAAGAAACAAAAAATTATAAATAAATTAAATAATATGATTAATCAAATTTTTACTTAAAAATAGGTTTTTTTTATTCAACTTTGAGTTAAGGAATAATAATCCAAAAATGAATCTCAAAGAATCGGAACAAAAGAGTTCTTTTTATCAAAGATTAAGTATTTGCTTCTTGGTCTTACAAATTTTTTTTCACTTTTGGCCTTAACGAAAACATGGGAACTTCAATTTCATAACAATAGTTCAATGTAATGATTTCGTATTTTATATGAAAAAGATAAATATTAATAAATTTGAAATTCAATTTAGTGGAAGCATGAAGAATCAAATTTATAACATTTTAAACAAATAAAAGTTGCATTTGAATAAAAATTACAATTTTCGGTCAATAAGAAACAACTTAAGAAACATAGCCTACTGTTTAACAAATATTTCTTATCGACAAAAAACTAATTTTTATTCAAAAATGCCACCACTTTTATTTGATCAAATTGTTAGAAATTAAATTTAATTCTTTAAACTTCTACCAGAACTTTTTTTTATAGTTTTAAATTCAAAAAATAAAAAATGTATAAAAAAAACCAATATTTATTATAGAGGTAAATATAAAGACTGTTAATTAAACAGAAGGTAGTCACATTTATTTTTTCAACGTGTTCGGTTAAATAGTTTTTAAGAAAAATAAAAGTAGCTATATTCTATGATGCTTCTATTATAAAATTAATTTTATAATATTATATTTATAATATTTATTTATTTATATATTTATATTTATTTATTTATAATTATTAAATAAAAAAACGGATTTTCTTGATGTTTATTAATAAAATCATGATTTTTAACAGATCTGCTCTTTTTATTTAAAAATAGTTTAATAAAATCTTCTCCAATTAATTAATTCTTAATTTTGCTTTTCCCTAATTTCCAGACAAAATTTTGACTTTTTCCCTGACCTTAGAAAATATTCTGATTCACTCTAAAAAAATATAATTAGCTACTCTAAAAAATGTTCTACTACTTTTATTTTCGAATTTCTTTAAAAAAAACAAGAAAAAAAATAAAAAAGTAAAATTATTAATAAATATCAAGAATTTCTTTTTTAAAATTCAATTATTTCTAAAAACTCACGCTATAATGCTTTTAATATTCATTTATTATCTAAAATTTTTAACTGAAATTCATTTTTAAATCAATTTTTATTAGAAAATTCTACAAGAATTCTATTATTTTATTACAAAAATAAATAATTTATACACGAATTGAATTATGAAATAATTGAATAATTGCAAAGAAATTTTAAAAAAATTTGTAAATAAATTAATTTGTGTGTAATATTTATTATTTATGAAAATAATTGAATTATTGTCAAGAAATTCATAAAAGTTTTGTAAATAATTGAATTCTTGCAAAATTTTTATTATTTATAAAAATAATTAAGTGTTTTGAGTAGAATTTTAATAAATTTTTTTTAAATAATTGAATTCCTTTGGAAAATTTTATTAAAATAGTAGATATTGAAAATCATTGAATTGAGGAAAATTTTAGAAAATAATTGAAATTTTGCCGAGAATTTGATTTTAAATTTTGATAATAATTGAATTCCGAAAAAGAATTTTGTTATTCACAAAAGTAATTGAATTACTGTGAAGAATTTTATAAAACCATTTTTAAATAATTGATTTTTTTCGAAAAAATGTATGCAAATTCTAATTTAAATAAATTAATTCGTGTGGAATTTTTATTATTTATGAAAATAATTAAATGTTTGCGTAGAATTTTATAATAATTCTTTTTCAATAATTGAATTCTTTTGGAAAATTTTATTAAAATAGATATTAAAAATCATTGAATTGAAAAAAATTATTGAAAATAATTGAATTCCTGAAAAGAATTTTATTATTTATAAAACTAATTAAATTACAGTAAAAATATTTATTATTTATGAAAATAATTGAATTACTGTCAGGAAATTCATAAAAGTTTTGTAAATAATTGAATTCTTGTAAAATTTTTATTCTAGTTATAAAAATAATTAAGTGTTTTGAGTGAATTTTAATAAAATTTTTTTTAAATAATTGAATTCTTTTGGATAATTTTTTTATTTAAATAGTAAATATTGAAAATCTTTGAATAGAGGAAAATTTGGGAAAATAATTGAAATTTTGCCAAGAATTTTATTGAAATTTTTGAAAATAATTGAATTTCGGAGAAAAATTTTATTATTTGTAAAGATAATTAAAATTTTGACGCAATTTTTAAAAAATTTTTGAACGGGAAACGTAGGGAAATTTCTACACGGGATAATTGAATTTTTACGAAGAATTTTATTTCTTTTCAAAATAATTGAATTTCTGCAATAATTTGTAACTTCTCCAAAATTACTCTTTTAAAATTCAATTAATTTTGCAATATTTAAGTAAAAAACTATTCATTAAATAATTTATAATTATTTAATGAATTATTTCACAGGTTACGAGGGATACAAAAAAGACAAAAATTCAGAATTTTCTTATGAAGTCTAAAAATTAAATTATTCAGTACTCTTAATAAAAAATCCCTGACTTTTTCCTAATTTCCCTGGCCATAGTGACAATCCTGTTCCCCACATAAAACTAACTTTAATTTCTCCCAAAAATTCTGTTTTTCAATATTTTCCTTTTGGATTTTTATTCCCAGGAATCTGAATTAATGGGAGAGAGAAAAAAAAATGTTATAAAAGACGTGTGTGTATAATGATTTAAGAGCGAATTTCTCGAAGAAGAAGGCTCGTCGGCAAAATGCAGAACGCGATTCCTGACGTTCCACGATGCAGACGTTCCGCGATTTCTCTCCCGTTTCACCTCCCCCCCTCTTTCTCCAGAGTGTCGGTTCATTCTACTCTCTATAGAGACTGAACTTGAATGGCCGGAACCTTCTCTCCTAAGATTAGCGATTCTCGCACTCAGGAATTTACTGTGACAAATAGAAAAATTTGAAAAGGGTTTGCGAGAGAGTTTTATGAATGTACATCGTCTCGACGTAAATGATCATTTTTTCTTCTTCTTCTTCTTCAAAGAAAAATCGACTACAGTAAAAATAAAGGAAAGAAAAAAAAAAGTGTGCCGCGCTTTGAAGAAAGAGATCTAAGCTGAAAAAACATTTTTTGTTTCTTCACCTTGATTGGAAATTCCTCTTTCATTTTTTTTTTACAAAACGAATCAATTTTTATTAATAATCAATTTTCATAAAAATTTATTATTTTTCGAAAACATTAATTATTTAAATCAATGTTTATAAAATTCTTATGAAGAATTCAATTTATTTTTAAAAATAACAAAAACTTTTCAAAGAATTTCAATTCATTTTAAATATTTTAATAAAAGTTTTCGCAATAATTCAATTATTTTCAAAAATAATAAAATCTGGAAGAATTGAATTATTTACAAAATATTAGAATTTTTTACAGGAATTCAATTCTTTTCAAATATTTTGATAAAATTATTCGAAAGAAATCAAATATTTTAAGTACAAATTTAATTAAATTTCATTGAAAAAATTTCAATTATTCTTTTAGATTTTAATAAAATTCTCCCCAAGAATTCAATTATATACAAAAATAATTCTTCGAAAAAATTCAATTATATTGATAAATAACAAAATTATTCCCGAAAATTCAATTAATTTGAGGTATTTTAATAAAATTCTTTGCAAAATTCAATTATCTGAAGAATTCAATTATTTTTAAAAATAACAAAATTTTTCAATGAATTTCAATTCTTTTTAAATATTTTAATAACATTTTTCGCAATAATTCAATTATTTTCAAAAATAATAAAATTCTTTGCACCTATTCAATTATTTTCATAAAAAAATTTAATTTCAATTCCTCGAAAAAATCAATTATTTAAAAAAAAACGTTTCTTTAAAATTCTTTGGAGGAAATGAATTATTTACAAAAATATTAGAATTTTTCACAGAAATTCAATTATTTTCAATTATTTTAAAAAAATTGTTTAAAAAAAGTCAATTATTTTAAATACAATTTTAATTAATTTTTTGTGAAATAATTCAATTATTCTTTTAGATTTTAATAAAATTCTTCCCAAGAATTCAATAATTTACATAAATAATTCTTCGTAAGAATTCAATTATGTCGATAAATAACAAAATTATTCCCGAAAATTCATTTATTTAGAAGCATTTTAATCAAATTCATTGCAAAATTCAATTATTTTCATAAATAGCAATATTCATCTCAAAAATTCAATTATTTTTAAAAATAACAAAATTTTTCAATAATTTTCAATTCTTTTTTAACATTTTAATAAAAATTTTTGCACTAATTCAATTATTTTTATAAATAATAAAATTCTTCTCAGGAATTCAATTACTTTTGAAAATTATAATAAAATTCTAAGCAACTATTCAATTATTTTCATAATTGAATTTTCATAATTTTAAATAATAAAATTCATCGCAGGATTTTAATTATTTTTAATACAATTTTACAGGAATTGCTCGATAAATGTAATTATTCTTAAAAATTTAATTTCAATTCCTCGAAAAAGTCAATTATTTAAAAAAAAATTTTTTTAATTTTTTGGAAGAATTGAATTATTTACAAGATATTAGAATTTTTCACAAGAATTCAATTATTTTAAAATATTTTAACAAAATTGTTAGAAAGAAATCAATTATTTGAAATACAATTCTAACTACACTTTTTTGAAACAATTCAATTATTCTTTTAGATTTTAATAAAATTCTTCCTAATTATTTACAAAAATAATTCTTCGAAAGAATTCAATTATATTGATAAATAATAAAATTATTCTTGAAAATTAAATTATTTTCAGGCATTTTAATTAATTAATTAATACTTAAAAGTAATAAATTTCGGTTCTGAAATTCAAATATTTTAAAAAATTCTATCAAAATTGTTCGCAAGAATTCAATTATTTTCATAAATAGTAAATTACTTTTAAGGAATACAATTATTTTCAAAAAAATT